CAGAGGTGTTGGTGGAGCCGGTGGCGGAGGAGTAGTGGGAGGCAGAGACGGAGGCGGAGGCGGATGCGGAGGGGAAGGAGGAGGCGGTGGCGAAGGAGAAGGGGGAGGTGGTGACGGAGGAAAAGGGGGAGGAGGAAGCGGGGGTGGAGGCGGAGTCACCGTCGCAGGAAAGCGTCTTAAGCGCGTTAGCCGCCCTCCTCGCTCGCACGCAGTTCCGTCTCCAGCGCCGCACGCCGCTCGCCCCGAACCGCGCCTATACATCTCAGATTAAATTCCGCAGAAACTTAATTATCATCGAAGGAAAACAGATGGCAACGCGCTAACGCGAATAAACGGTCTAAGACAACGAGGTTGAGTCGAGCGGCTGGATCTCATTGCCCCCTCCCCCGGACCTTATGTCTCCCCCCTCACGTCCGTTAGACCTTGCCTCCCAAGAAAATCGCATCCCGTGTTTTACATCTCATTCATTGTCTCTCTTAAGGAACTCATCAACCCTTACTTCTCGCTTACCTATTTCAGTTTATGTCTCTTACTTTTCGTGCATCGTTTTATCGCGCTATCAACATGCGGCACCGCCTTATTAACCGACTTCGAAAGGAGGAGGATATACAATTAGCCGTGTATTATTTTTAAATATTTGTGCAACTACATAATTCGCAAATAAATCCTAATTTAAAGGAGTTTTTATTTGAGTCCAACGGGATTTTTTCAGTGGTTACACATAATTGTGAAGGTATCCTGATAATGGAATATGAAGATATAATAAAGAAGTGGAGTAACACTTTGAGACTTCCAACAAATCTAGCGCCTAAACCACACGAATTTTTCAATGTTTCTTTCGGACTCAACTCAAGGAATTTTAAAATAATCTTTTTATTTTAAGTGATACTTTATATGAAGCACTTTTGAAATTCAAAATGTTGTCAGAAACGGGCGAATGCTTTATATTGTTTGCTAGAAAACAGGATGGTACTTCAATACATGAGTGGCGTATCGTTTCTACAGACAGTTGACGTAGAAACTGAGAAATTTTCGACCAACGTGTGTTGTAACCTGCGACTTAATTTTAGAAAAATTAATTTTGTTGTATTAATGGTGTCAAGAAAATTCACGAGTGCATACTGGAAAAAAAATTGAACATTATATTTAAAATAATATTTAATGCCAATATCTTTACTAATGAAATTGCAACTTATTGTAACTCAAGAGAAACGCATTTCTGTATGTTTGCTGCCTCTCAAAAATCTACCAAAACTATTCAAAGCAGAAACAGTGGGCTTGCTCTAGCGATCATTTTGGTGGAACTTCACTTTAAAGAAATGTCCCAGCGAAGGCCTCGTATGTTACAATTATTTAATTGTCAGACTTCACATTTCGTCCGAAAGAATTCATCGAAGTACAGTACAACATTCCTAATCCAAACCTCGCAAAACCGAAATTTCGGATAATCCGAACAAAGTTCGGAACGGAGAAAAAACAAACAAAATAAATACAATTCTTATTTGTAATGTAAAGATAGGATTTTATAATTGCTGTAGAGGTGAACAACTAATTATTGAAACACAAGTTGTCAAAGAGAAACGTTTATTGCACTAATCACTAAGACGTACATCACATTTTTATGTAGCAGTAATTTTCACTTAGAGGAACTGGCAATATCGATAACATTTTAGCGTAAGGAACTGAATCTGATTGATGATGCGATAGTTAGGCTACGTTGTCATTTTCTCACATCACACGCTACGTTTCGTTGTCTAGTAATCATATGGATGTATTTGTTATGTATTGTACATTTTTCGGATAATTTAAACATCTCCGAATACGAACAGATCACACCCCCAATTAGGATTGTCGGGATTCTACTGTAACAAGAAAATAACCAATATGGTATCTTTAGCAGCCTCATTCGCCAGGCAGATTGAAACACCTTCGAATTTTAAAAGAAGCATACTTGTACGTATCATGTGTGGTTTGCGTAAGTCAAAATACACTTCTCAGTAAACATTACGTCGCTGAAGTTTTGAAATAATTGTTCGTTAATACGTACGTAATGCCTTATGTATCTGCTTTGAAAGGTTTTGGTAGATTTCGGTGACTGCAAAACATACAGAAATTGGTTCTCTTGAGTTGTGTACCACGACGTAGATTGAGAGAAATCTGTCGTTTCAACTCTATTTTCTTTAAGGGGACCTCCACCTTCCCTGTTAGCTCTACCAATAAGCAACATATTGAGTAGTTTTTGGGAGAAAATCATGTATCACTGAATTGTATTAAAAAGAATCAAACTCTAGCTTCTCAACAAGGACTTACCGAGAAGCAAATCCAATACCTCTACGTCACCTGCGCGAAAAGCATGAAGCCCAGCCACGAGTGAGGTCCCTGTCCGCCCCCTCCTCTGCTTCCCGTCTCTTCGCCAGTCGTTACCCTCCTCTTCCCCTGTCATTGTCGCTATCCTCGCCTCCTCTCCTGCACCTCGTCTCGCCTTCCCTCTGCATACATAGCTTTCTGTCGCCGTCTCCTTCAACGCATCTCCACGCCACGCTCCCACCTCCCCGCACCTCTCTCCTCCACCCCTCTTCTGTGTTCCCGAGCGGTACCGAGGGCGGTACGAGGGCGGTACGAGGGCGGGTACGAGGGCGGTACGAGCGGTACGAGGGCGAGACGAGGGGCGAGTACGAGGGGCGGTACGCGCGGGTAGACGGAGAGGAAACTGGTAGCGGGGTTCTCTCCCACCGG